AGTTTTCTGGGACAGAGCGTGTTATCGAGCGTGATCAACAATCTGAACAAGGCCAGCATGTCTTGTGGCTTTGTGCTAGCACAGCTTTCGCGGTCCAAATTCACTCACAAGGCTTGGGTCAACCCGTGGTATTGTTTTTCAGGCACTTTCCAAAAGTAATCGACCACGATCCATTCCGATAACATCAGGAAGTCCCCTTCCTCACAAATCGACCATGGTGAGATTCGAACCCAGATCTCATGGTCAGAATGAGAACGTTCTAAGTATATATAGTAAGCACGATCCAAATTCGACACAGCTTTTAGGCAAAGGTGCTGCATGCTGGGATCGCCTCCTACAGACTGATGACATCAAGAAGTCACCTTCCTGACAAATCAACCATGGGGAGATTTGAACTCTGGTCATTGTCAGAAAGCGAACGTTCTAACCACTAATGAAGCTTATATATATATATATATATATATATAATGAACTCTCCCGTCGGTTTCGACGTATGAGGATTTGACAACTTAACCAACTGATTCAGTTATGAAATCTTGTTCGATAATCTTAATTGGCACTTAAGACCCACTAGTGATTTACAAAGAAGCCCGCATATGGAGCAAGGGTGAGGATTGTGGTATGAGATCACTGTTAGATTGGCTGACCTTTTAGATCTTGCTCTCGTTTCTTGAAGACGATTCAGACAAGCAGATTGAAAACTGCCGAGTCCACTAAAACACGTTGATCTCCATTCTACCCGCTCCAATGTTAAGTACTCCGAGGGTGTTACGAGGTATATTAACAGCTGACAAGTTGCTCTTCAGTTTGTCTTTGTATCTTAGCCATGGGCATCCTACATTCCCGACAGTCTGTTTTATATTTCTGGCGTGAAGATTGCGTTCAAATGTCCAAATTTGGATTCGTCTATGCATAATATATTTTTCTAAATTATAAATATTTTGCTTTCGCCATTAATCCTCTGTATAATTTGTAAGGCTACGAAAATTTTCAGCTAACTAAAATGTTAATGCAGGTGCAAAATGTTAACTTCTCACAGACTAATGTTGTAAACAAACCATATGTAGCTGTCTCTGTTTGAAGAAAAAATAGATTGTGCCATTACGACAGTATTTTCATATACTTCAAATTTATTTTTTAATTTTGAAGTAATTTGCAAGAAATGGCAAAATCAAAGCTGCTAAGTATTGAGGTGGGGTCCAAATTGAAATTTTATTAACAGGAGGCTACTCTCAAAGACAAATTGGCATGAAGTTGAAGATTTCTAGATACTCAGGGCAATAATCGTTACAAAGGCAGTTAGAAATAGATGCAAATCTTAACAGAAAAGATCTGAAACATCAAAAGTGGCTGAAGATAAACACTTGATTATTAAGAACAAAATAAATACAAGAAAAACTGCTCCAGAATTAATTAACAGGTAAAATTAATTCCTCTCTACCTCAACCAGTGTCACACGCAACCGTATTCAAATCCCCAAAATTACTATTCAGTCATATATATATATATATATATATATATATATATATATATATATATATATATATATATATATATATATATATATGTAAGCTTCATTAAAGACGATTGACAAGGTACTGCGATTAAGATTTTTTTATTTTTTTTTTTTTGTATTTTCAAATTTATTTTCAAAATTTGAAATAATTTGCACAAAATGGCGAGATCAAAGCAGGTTAGCATTGCGGGGTGAGGGCATGAATCGAAATTTTATGTAAAGAAGGCAATTCTCAAAGACTAGTCGGCAAAAAATTGAAGATTTCTAAATATTGGGTGTAATATTCGTTGCAAAGGCAGATAGAAACTGGCGCAAATGTTGAGAGAGAAAGAGATGAAGTACCAAATGTGACAACTACCGCTGAGATAAGCATTTGGTTATTGGGAGCAAAAGAAATAGAAGGAAAACTGATCCAGAGTTGAGAGTTGAACATATTTCCTTTTGAAACCAACCAGTCTCGCTCTCAAGCGTAAAAAATCAACTTAGATCAGCAGGGCTCAGATGGCGCATTGCCATAAAAAAAAAAACCCTGTTATAGAAGGTGAATAAACAGAAAAGACTGTTATGGGCAAAATAGCATAAACACTGGATATTGAAAAAACTAGTAATATGTATAATGGACAGACGAGTCCAAATTGGAATTTTCTGGAAGTAAGAGTATATATATATATATATATTACAATAAACGTGCAATCAATTTACAAATACATGAATTATTCATACAAAACTAATGCAAAGGTTAATGATTTAAATGGCAAGACATCCATCTTGCAAACGATTCAAATAGTACATAAAAAAACCTCTAAATCCGTTATGCATGAGTTGATCCTTGTTTATATAAATTTCTGCCGTATTAGTTGTTATTTTTTTACTACAAGCTTTCGTCTGTTCCTACAGACATCGTCAGGTATATAATAGATGTTGTTCTTGGTTTTTTCTCTTAGTAATAAGAGGACATCGAAAATATATGTGTATTGTATCCGAAATGCTATTAAAAATGAGTTATTGGTTTTTGAACGCGCCAAAGCAACGCTGAGTTTGATTTTGAATTTTTTAAAATGTCTGCGTCTATACCAAATATGGTAATGAACAAATGTTTTTACTGGTAAAATTTTTACTGTCAAAGTGGCATGAACTATATTGTTCAATAATTACAGTAATGTCGCACTTATTAACCAAAAAGTCGCACATGGATCAGATATTTAAATTACAATAAACGTGCAATCAATTTACAAATACATGAATTATTCATACAAAACTAATGCAAAGGTTAATGATTTAAATGGCAAGACATCCATCTTGCAAACGATTCAAATAGTACACAAAAACCTCTAAATCCGTTATGCATGAGTTGATCCTTGTTTATATAAATTTCTGCCGTATTAGTTGTTATTTTTACTACAAGCTTTCGTCTGTTCCTACAGACATCGTCAGGTATATAATAGATGTTGTTCTTGGTTTTTTCTCTTAGTAATAAGAGGACATCGAAAATATATGTGTATTGTATCCGAAATGCTATTAAAAATGAGTTATTGGTTTTTGAATGTATAGAATTGGTGTATACGGAATAAATTCCAGTAACCAAAAAATTATATTCTTAAAAGAGTGCTCAATACAGAGTAGAGCAAATATAATTTATTCGAAATTATAACATCACTACAAAAATAGCCATTTTGTTTCAACACTTCTGGTGTCTTATCAAGTGACCTTGATAAGACACCAGAAGTGTTGAAAATATATGTGTGTATGATAGGAAAGAACTTTTAGATTGATGATCTGAAGTTCTTTAGTATTTTTGTTTTTATTTTTTTTAAAAAAAAAAGCAGTACTCGATACAGAAGCAGAACCTAAATTATAATTATTTTTTAAACAATATGATTCCATCGCGACACAGAAATTACTATGTTTCGAAACTGGTCATCCGTATTCAAGTTTAATTTCAATATAAAACCTTAACTGTTGGATGACTGTTTTATACTCAAGATATGTTTGGGATAACTAAGTAACTAAATGTTTTACTCATTTATAGTTTTGAAATGGAGGTGTAATCTGGGGTTACTTTTTCATTATAAAGGGGTCTCTGCTTTGATGAAAGTAGGGGTGTTTGTTATATGTCAAGTTTTTGGAGTCGTGTAAAGTTAGCCATTGTAGCGAGAAAAAAACTCAAGCCAACCTTACACGACTCGTGATGGAATCATATTTTAAAATAAAAATATATATATATATATATATATATATATATATATATATATATATATAGAGAGAGAGAGAGAGAGAGAGAGAGAGAGGGAGATAGACAGAGACAGAGAGAACGAGAAAAAGGAAAGATGATAGGAAAAAAGTAAAAAGCGACAGAGAATGATGATAGAGAGAAAGATTGAGAGATAGAAAGAAAGAGAGGGAGAAAAGAAGAGGGAGAGGAAGATAAAAGTAAAGGTGAAAGGACCCAAAAGACGTAAAAGTAAGAGAGAGAGAGACAGACAGGCAGACAGAGAATGCTGACAGTGAGAAGGTAGTTGATTGATTGGTTGATTTAGTTTAGCGGCATATCAATATCTCGATGGGTTATTTAATACCGAAATATAAATAGTTGGTACGTAATTTTATGCTTTCAGAGTAAACGTATGTTTTTTTAGATATATAATTCATAAAATGTATTGTTACTAATTTTGATATAAAAATGTATCTTTATCGTTTTTAGTATTGCATTCATTGTCCTGTCTGTAGCTCTGGGATGAGTTATTATGATTACATGCATTGTTTACATTATTCAGATTGTTATCCTCATCTTCATTGCTATATTCATAAAGTTTCGGCAGTTTTACGTTCTGGCCTTTATGTCTATGTCCCTCTATATCTCCGAGATGAGGTATTCTGATTACTTGTATTATTTAGATTATTCAGACTGTTATCCTCATCTTCAATGTCATATTCACAACGTTCCGGCCATTGTACGCTCCGGCCTTTATGTATATGTCTCTCTATATCTCTGAAATGAGGTATTATGATTAACTGCATTATTTACATTATTTGGACAGTTATCCTCATCTTCATTGTCATATTCACAACGTTTCGGCTGTTATACGCTCCGGCCTTCTCCAGGTGATCGGATCTCTTAGATGAGGTATTATGATTACTTGCATTATTTAAATTATTCGGACTGTTATCCTCATCTTCATTGCCATATTCACAACGTTTCGGCCGTTGTACCTTCTTCGGGTGATTGTAATTTCGGTGTAAATAAAGGGTTTCGTTCGGAATTCCATTCCAAATAGTATTGTTGCTCATTTTATTATAAAAATGTACTGTTGATTTTTGTTTGGTGGTTCACTATTTGCCCATATCTCGGATTCTAAGAGGTGCCTCCCTTTCAGGTCAGGGAGGACCTGGGAACAACAGTAGTTACGTGGTGGTTCCACGCTCTTCAGAAACCTCTATTCTCCCGATCAGAAGCCTTGCTGCCGAATATAGTTTATCGTCATACTAAGAACGATAGAGAGAAAGATTGAGAAAGAGAGAGAGAGAGAGGGGGGGAGAGGAAGGAGGGAAGAAAAGAGCAAGATAATTATAAAAAGGGAAGGGAAAGGAATAAAATGATATAAAAGTAAGAGATAGAGAGCGAGAGAGAGACAGAGAGGAAAAATGAATGGAGAAAAAAAGAGAGGAAAATAAAAGGTGAAAAAACCCAAAAGACGAGTAAAGAGAGAGAGAGAGAGAGAGAGAATGCTGATAGAGGGAAGGCTTGAGATATATATAGAGAGTGAGGGAAGGGAGGGAGAAACGAAGAGAGAGGAAGATAAAAAAGGAAAGGTGAAAGGAAGAAAAAAAGACGTAAAATAAGGGAGATACACATAGAGAATTGTGATAGAAAGACGGGTTGAGAGGGAGGGAGAGAGAGAGAGAGGGAGAGGAAGGAGAGAAGAAAAGAGCAAGATAATTATAAAAAGGGAAGGGGAAAGGAATAAAATGATATAAAAGTAAGAGATAGAGAGCGAGAGAGAGACAGAGAGGAAAAATGAATGGAGAAAAAAAGAGAGAGGAAAATAAAAGGTGAAAAGACCCAAAAGACGAGTAAGAGAGAGAGAGAGAGAGAGAGAATGCTGATAGAGGGAAGGCTTGAGATATATATAGAGAGTGAGGGAAGGGAGGGAGAAACGAAGAGAGAGGAAGATAAAAGGAAAGGTGAAAGGAAGAAAAAGACGTAAAAATAAGGGAGATACAAATAGAGAATTGTGATAGAAAGACGGGGTTGAGAGGAGGGAGGGAGAGAGAGAGAGAGGAGAGGAAGGAGAGAAGAAAAGAGCAAGATAATTATAAAAGGGAAGGGAAAGGAATAAAATGATATAAAAAGTAAGAGATAGAGAGCGAGAGAGAGACAGAGAGGAAAAATGAATGGAGAAAAAAAGAGAGAGGAAAATAAAAGGTGAAAAGACCCAAAAGACGAGTAAGAGAGAGAGAGAGAATGCTGATAGAGGGAAGGCTTGAGATATATATAGAGAGTGAGGGAAGGGAGGGAGAAACGAAGACAGAGGAAGAAAAAGGAAAGGTGAAAGGAAGAAAAAGACGTAAAAATAAGGGAGATACACATAGAGAATTGTGATAGAAAGACGGGTTGAGAGAGGAGGAGAGAGAGAGGGAGAGGAAGGAGAGAAGAAAAGAGCAAGATAATTATAAAAGGAAAGGGGAAAGGAATAAAATGATATAAAAGTAAGAGATAGAGAGCGAGAGAGAGACAGAGAGGAAAAATGAATGGAGAAAAAAAGAGAGTGGAAAATAAAAGGTGAAAAGACCCAAAAGACGAGTAAGAGAGAGAGAGAGAGAGAGAGAATGCTGATAGAGGGAAGGCTTGAGATATATATAGAGAGTGAGGGAAGGGAGGGAGAAACGAAGAGAGAGGAAGATAAAAGGAAAGGTGAAAGGAAGAAAAAGACGTAAAAATAAGGGAGATACACATAGAGAATTGTGATAGAAAGACGGGTTGAGAGGGAGGGAGAGAGAGAGAGAGGGAGAGGAAGGAGAGAAGAAAAGAGCAAGATAATTATAAAAAGGGAAGGGGAAAGGAATAAAATGATATAAAAGTAAGAGATAGAGAGCGAGAGAGAGACAGAGAGGAAAAATGAATGGAGAAAAAAAGAGAGAGGAAAATAAAAGGTGAAAAGACCCAAAAGAAGAAAAGAGAGAGAGAGAGAGAGAATGCTGATAGAGGAAGGCTTGAGATATATATAGAGAGTGAGGGAAGGAAGGGAGAAACGAAGAGAGAGGAAGATAAAAGGAAAGGTGAAAGGAAGAAAAAGACGTAAAAATAAGGGGAGATACAAATAGAGAATTGTGATAGAAAGACGGGTTGAGAGGGAGGAGAGAGAGAGAGGAGAGAGGAAGGAGAGAAGAAAAGAGCAAGATAATTATAAAAAGGGAAGGGAAAGGAATAAAATGGTATAAAAGTAAGAGATAGAGAGCGAGAGAGAGACAGAGAGGAAAAATGAATGGAGAAAAAAAAGAGAGGAAAATAAAAGGTGAAAAGACCCAAAAGACGAGTAAGTAGAGAGAGAGAGAGAGAGAGAGAATGCTGATAGAGGGAAGGCTTGAGATATATATAGAGAGTGAGGGAAGGGAGGGAGAAACGAAGAGAGAGGAAGATAAAAGGAAAGGTGAAAGGAAGAAAAAGACGTAAAAATAAGGGAGATACACATAGAGAATTGTGATAGAAAGACGGGTTGAGAGAGAGAGAGAGAGAGAGAGAGAAAGGGAGGGAGAGAAATGAAGAAAAAGAAATATAATAAGAAAAAGGAAAAGAGGAAAGTATAAAAAGATGTAAATGAAAGGGAGAGATAGTGATAGAGAACGATGATTGACAGAGAGGGTGATCAGTGAGTGAGTGATTGCGCGAGTGAGAGAGAAGTTGCAACATAAAGAGAAATTCAATTCCAACAGATAGGAATAGTGATAAATTCCTCACGTGACTGAAAGCACGTGACGTAGATAAATGTAAGCTGTTTCGGTACAGACTAAATTCAAACTATTTAATCGATGATTTGATCGATAGAAATAACTAATCTCGATGGACATTTACGATCTGCTCTTTGCTGACGAAAACATTTCGATGACAAACTTGCAAATGATCGGATCAAATTCCTATCAGAAGCTACATTCCAGTTTGGCATTCAAACAAAAAGCAAAACAGAGCAAAAACTAACGCACATTTAATTATCAAAGATAAAAAGCCCATTATGTATGTATGTAGCACACATAATTCGAATGAAGGATAGTCGATTGTTTTAATGTGTGCTGAGTATCGGAAAGAGCCCTCAAAGATGGCCATAGATTGAACTAGATGGAGAGATCAAATAAGAGACGGGTGTCAACTCTTCGAGAATGTCTTCTGGAACAGAAACAGCTGAAGCTGCGTCTTTGAATGGGTGATAACCATGGACTCGACGAGGGTATCAAGGGCTGTGATTTGTGTCAGCATATATTTCTTTCAAAGCCTGGCTGGGTGAATCGTGAAATCACATGAAGAAAAAAAATCACCCTTGACACAATGTCATAGACTGCATGCTGTGTGACAATGTATGTACAACCAACTTCCGACTGAAAAGGCAAAGGAATCAAGCACATCGATGTGAATCCATCAAGGTTGTGTCAATCACATTGTTTGTCTGTTACTTGTGTAACAAGTCATGCAAGTCCACAGCCTGGCAAGTCACTTTGGGTGGGGTGGGGTTTCTGGGGGCATGCATGAGAGAGGTGTAAGGTGGGTAGTGAATTTGATTAGTAGACATTATCTGTGAAGATGCAGCGGATCATCATCATATATATATATATATATATATATATATATATATATATATATATATATATATATAATAAAAGGCTTAAACACTAATATTCCATGGTCATATTTTATTCCATCGGAATCGTAAATACGATCCAATTCATCAGACCTACAAATTCCACTTTGGAATTTGTAGGTCTGATACCAGCAATAAATTTATGGAGGAAAAATTACCAGCAATACATTTTTGAGGAAAATATTACCAGTAATACATTTTTGAAGGAAAATATATTACCAGCAATACATTTTTGAAGGAAGAATATTTAACAGCAATATATTTTTGAAGGAAAAATATTACCAGAAATACATTTTTGAAGGAAGAATATTACCAGCAATACATTTTTGAGGAAAACATTCCAGCAATACATTTTTGAGGGAATTATTACCAGCAATACATTTTTGAGGGAAAATTTTACCAGCAATACATTTTTGAGAGAAATATTACCAGTAATACATTTTTGAAGGAAACTTTGACTAGCAATACATTTTTGAGGAAAATATTACCAGTAATACATTTTTGAAGGAAAATATATTACCAGCAATACATTTTTGAAGGAAGAATATTTACCAGCAATATATTGTTGAAGGAAAAATATTACCAGCAATACATTTTTGAAGGAAAAATATTACCGTCAATACATTTTTGAAGGAAAATATATTACCTGCAATACATTTTTGAAAGAAAAATATTACCAGCAATACATTTTTGAAGGAAAAATATTGCCAGCAATACAATTTTGAGGAAAACATTCCAGCAATACATTTTTGAAGGAAAATTTGACCAGCAAAACATTTTTGAGGAAAATATTACGAGTAATACATTTTTGAAGGAAAAATATTACAACAAAATATTACTCATTGAGGTTGTATATCGTAATACAAACCAAGCCAAACCAAAGCAAAAACATAATAATAATAATAATATATATATATATATATATATATATATATATATATATATATATATATATATATATATATATATATATACAGGAACATAATGAAAAAAAAACTCTGGTGCGTGCTTTTTCACGTCATGACGATAATTTACGCACCTATACTTCTACTCCAGACAGTAGGTTCATACTCTTGGTGTTATATTTTTGTACAACTAGGTCTACAATGATTAATAATAAATACTAATAAAAAGAAGAGGTAAATATAGTGATGTTTGAGCACCTGAATGTAAGTTTATGTCGGGCTGGGGGTAATGCTTGTTCTCGAGGGACGGGCTGCTGTGGGACCTTTCTTTGTCTTTGAGCCTATGAAACAAGGTGATGACTGGAACCCCTTGTCATATGTCCTGAATATAGTACGCAAAACAGTCTTTTCCCGTATCTTTTTCTATTTGTCTGTCAGCCGAAGTAGCAACACTTTGCAAATATTTACAGGCAAACATATATATAAACGGAGGTGCATCAATAAATCTGTAGCCTAACGAGAAATAAATAACATTTATTTTACGTAACAAATATTTCTCTTGCAAGGTATTTCCTTGTCAATGGACTTCATTTGTTGAACGATCTCAGTGAAACCTTTAAAATCATTAACAACGTTATTCCAAAATAATTTTAAAACAATAAAAAAAATTGTCGAGAGGATATACAGTAATAGTATGCAGTAATAGACAAGACAAAAAACATTTTTTTTTTTTGCGGCTACATATGTTAAACTTTGCCAATGGGTTGGTTGTCCCCTTATTATAGGGAACAGCGGCGTTAAAATGACCTCTTGAACTTTAAAAGACTAGCTTTTAGACATAGCTCAAGATGACAGTGGCATTAAAACAAAAACTCCATTTCATACACGACAACGCATCAGCAGTCGCTGCTTGTGCAAGAGAAAAAAAAGAAAGAAAAGAAATAGGTAGGTAAGTTAGAGAGTTTAAAAACAACAGGGCAGCTGCCATATTTCTTGGATGTAAACTCCGTCGAGAAATACTGGAGCATTTTCAAGTAGCGTGCTTTTGAGGGCGGCAAGCAATTTATATCTAAAAATGAACTATGCAAAGCAATAATAGCTGTTTGCAAAGTCATTACCCCTGAGAAAAATCTCAAATTAACTACCTCAGTTGACAGGAGGTTGCTTTCAGTCATTAGAGAGATGGTAATTAGATCAGAAAATATTACTTTTCTGCTTTGTATTTTTGCACACAGTTTTTCATGAACAGTTTTTTATTGTTATTGTTAATGGGCACGTGGCGGAGTGGTTAGAACATTCGCGTGTTCGAATCTCACCATAGTCATTTTGTCAGAAAGGAGACTTCCTAGTGTTATCGGACAGCGTGTGACACCTTTGAAAAGTGCCTCAAAACCATACCACGGGTTGACCCAAGCCTTGTAAATATAATTGGGTAGACGAGCTGTCCTTGTTCTAATTGTTGATCACGCTAGATAACACGCTCTTTCCCAGAAACTGTAACTAAGGTCTGCTATAAAACACAGGTAGGCTCTGTAGGTGTTGAATAAACACAAATTGCGTCTGCAATAGGGATTGGCTAACCGCCCTAGTAGACGGGTATCCTCGAATACGAGTGGCCAGCTATATATATATATATATATATATATATATATATATATATATATTACTTCAATCGTTATTTTTAGTGGATACCGGTATTTGAGTAGATGCTATGGTTGTTTTTGTCATTGTTTTTAACAGTGTTTATTTCGTCTAGAGAAAATTTTATAGAGAAAATGTGTTCTCTGACACAAGCTTGGCTGATCGTGAAGCTCTCGATAGCCGAGCGATCAAAGGAAGCCGGATATGGCGGTGGTTTCTCTTTCAAAGAGGGAGGTAGGGTACGAATTCTGCCGGTAAGTAAATTTTTCGTAGACGAAATAAACACAGTTTAATAATAATAATAATAATAATAATACGCAAAAACAAAATACAGAGCGTTTCCTCAAATAGGGATATCTACCAAGATTTCCTCAAATACAGGTATTTACCAAAAATAATGTTTGCAGTAAAAAATATTTAAGATAAAAAATAAAAACCCATTAATATATATATATATATATATATATATATATATATATATATATATATATATATATATATATATATATATATATATATATATTTTCTGTTTATACAGTATTATGTAGATAAAATTTATTTAAGTAAATGCTAAGTATTTTTTAATTAAACTGTATTAATCACGTTTGCCGTCCTGAACGTTATAGATATAATTTATTTAAGTAAAAATACTTAAATACATTATATCTATAAAATAACGTATAAACAGAAAATATATTAAGTAATTGTCGTAATTTCATAATATATATATATATATATATAATAAAAAGGCTTAAACACTAATATTCCATTGTCATAATTTATTCCACTGGAATCGTAAATACACACATATATATATATGACAAAGTGAAAAAAGTTAATCAGCTTAAGTTTATGTTTACCTTGATGCGACTGCATGTGCTAATGAACGAGAGACGCTGGAAATTTATAATTTTATGTTGTCTTTTTTTCTGACCGATTAAAAAAAAAAAACATAACATTTTTGGGGTGTATATAATCTAGTCGATGAAGAAAAAGAAATTCATCATTAAATTTTAAATTCCCAGCGTCGGCCGTTCGTTCGTGCGCATGTGCAGTCGCATCAATGCCAATATAAACTTAGTCCGATAAAGTCCGAGAGGACGAAACGTATCACCCGAAAACTTTTTTCCACTTTGTCAGACATCTTTTCACCGAAATTGCTCTTGATATATATAAAAATGTATATATCGTTATTACACACACACACACGTGTGTGTGTGTTTATGTGTGTGTCTGTGTGTATGGAATAACGATATATACATTTTTATATAACAAGCAGGACTTTTTCTCCTGATGATGGCCATGCTGGCCGAAACTAGTCGAGGAACCTAATTGAAATAATAAAACAAAAAAAAATATTAATATGCAACTTAATTAAAATTTTCAAACACATTAGGTTGCATATATTAATATATTTTTTTTGTTTTATTATTTCAATTAGGTTCCTCGGCTAGTTTCGGCCAGGATGGTCATCATCAGGAGAAAAATGTCCTGCTTGTTAGTAGCAGTGAACT